CAATAAGCTGATATGATGAAATGGATTTGGGCAGTGTGGTGATTGTTAGGAAGAATATTACTCATGATTTTAAAACACAACACACAACTTATTAAAGTCCAGTTCTTGGCCACTAAGTGGAGGAGAACTATGATGGCTGACGTGATAATGCGAATGGCACATGTCTGGACCCAGTGATTGGTTTGTCCGTTATAGGCTTCTGTAAGGGGTGGTCAAACTGTTTTGACTGTGGGCCATATATAAAAAAATACATAGGGAGTCATGGGCCAAACAACAGTGAATGCACAGTTTTCAACCACTTACACAACAGGAAAATCAGTTTTCTCCAGACCAGGTGAAGCCCATTTGCCGTAGAAAATGAATTTTCTATCAAAATTACAACACAACACCACTTAACAATTTAATGTTTGACATTACAGTTGTTTATTATTGTGCCCACATATTACAAACATTTCTCTGTCTTCTGTCTTTTCAGGTCCATCATCATGCTTTCTGAGGTAAAAGTTTTAATCAGTTTGTTTAGTAAACAAGCATTGTGGGTGAATTAGTGACATCTTGTGTTCAAATTAAGAAGTGCAATGGCATGGCTTGAGGAGTAGCCGAGTTGTTTAAGACAACAGTGACATTGTAACATTAACCTAGGCTGTACATACAGTGCAATTCATTAGAAATATGCACAAGCCATATTCATGTTTATTTTAAAACAAATGGTTGCGGGTCATCTAAAAACAGGCAGTGTGCTGCCATTGGCCTGTGGGCGGTAGTTTGACCATCCCTGACTACTGTAGAACAACATGGTGGACTCCATGGGAGAGGACTAGCTGCCTTTTCTTAGGTGACGAAAACACAAAGATTCTTAGTTTCAGGTGATTATAAACCAACGAAAACATAGTTATGAATATTACATAGCCTTCAATTTCTGCCGATAGATGCCTCTAAATCCTACACACTGGACCTTTAAACTGACAGAGGCAACAGGCTACTGACTAAAGATAAGTAATTTAGATCTTTTCAGTGTATGTTGGTTTTTCAGAGGTCGCTAACATTTGAGCCGCACTGGCCGCTGATTACATGTAAAGCTCTTTACTTTCCTCTTAACCACTAAGTGATCTGATCTGAAGACACATTTACAACAAGTCAGCTTACACTAACTGACTGTAAAGCAGAGCATAACATTTAACTAAGCCTGTGCAGAAAGCAGAGTCTCCCCAACATCTGTAATATGAAGTCATATTAATGTGGACCAGGTTTTCCTTCATCTGGACTCTGAGGCCCGGTCTGGACCGCTGCCAAACCCCCACCCTCCTCTTTTCCCACATCAGACCACCTTACAAACTGGAGGCTAAGGGGGGGTTGGAATGTATTTTGCCCTGTGTGATGTGATTGTTTGCAGAGAAATGGGTTGACCTTGCCCTCTAATGCCACACACACACACACACACTCGCTCTGGCCGGGCTGGAGGTGTGTGAGACAGACCTGCTGAGTGCAGGAGGTCTGGGACCCCGTCACCACTTCCTCCAGACAGAGAACAGAGGATCCAGTCAGCTGAAGCCAGGATGGGACAATAATGAGCAGTCCAGCCACCACCATCACCTCATTTCAGGTATTATTGAAACCTTCGCCTTTCACTTTTCCTCTGCATAGACCAACCAACTAAGGGATATCAGACCGAATGAAGACTTATAGTCCAAAAAGCAATGCCCAGTTTAAAAATTACATGGCTCTGTTATTTAAGATTTAAATAACACACTTGGTGTTAAGTAAATGTAACAATAACATTAATTAACAGTTAGGATGAACAATATTAGGGTGCTTGTACTGTATAAATGTTTTTTAAAAGTAAATATTTCATTTTGAAAAAGTGATTTCCATATAATTTAAGGACAAACCCATGCATTTATATATAAGGTAATAAAACATTAAAGATCAGGTTTTTGATGCATAAGTAAATTATTAAAATTTTATGGAGAATTAATTCAACTTCATTTAAAGTGTGTGAGATTTATGAACACTAGGTTGATTGTTTGCTATATCCCACGTGCTTATGGTAGCTAATTAAAGCTGTTTTTTTCCTAAATTAATTCGCTATTTTCATCATTATGTTTTAGTTACTATTAAACAGAAGCAATTTTTTGACATAATTCGAAAAGTTTTAACCCCAAAAAATCACTTTGAGGATTTTTTTGCTTGTTTGTTTGTTTTTGATACCCAAATTAAAAAATAGCGTTAAACAACGACAGAATAAGTCAGTCCAGCCGTGTGGCTTTCAGTCCATAGCACGGATTATATTTCATTGTTTATTATTAGGCCTATTATTGTTATTATTATTCGATTGTGTATTTGTACCATGCAGCGAAATAAGTTTTACAGAACTTTTTTGGTAGTGTTTTATTTGATGAAGCTATTATTATTTATATATATATTTCAGGAACATATAAAATAATTTTGATTTTCAAAATAAATGAACGGATTTCATGGATCTACTCTTTTGTGCTTGAAGGCTCAAAAAACAAACGAGTGAGTGTTGCCAAATCATTAATTATGACTGGTAGTCGTGGCTTATTTGGAGGCGCAGCGTGCTTACGTCAGATATTTTTTCCTTAATAATATCTTGTTTCCTCACAAATTGTTTTTTTTTTTTTTTTTTTAAAGTATACAGTAAATACCCTATGGCACCGTTCTGATAAGTGAACATCAGTGTCTGTGGCCTGTTAAATATTATTAAAAATGTAGAGGCTAATATGAGTCAACATTTGAGCGTTTTCAGGATGTAACTTTAAAAAAGCTCGTTCTGACAAATGTTTGATAATTATCAATAATCCTTGATCTGTTTAATTTGCGTTTTCATATAATTATATTTTTTAATGCAAAGAAGTATTTCTTTAATATAACAGAGAATTAAGACTACATTTAGATACTCCACATGCGTTTATTTCTTGCTACAGTTGCGAAGTTAAATAATAACCTGTGGGTTATAAAAGGGCTCAAACCAAACTCCACTGTTAACAAAAATAATGACTGTGATTAATATATTTCAGGGTAAATGTGCAGCTATAGTCTTATCGACATTAGTTAAATAAGCTGCTGCATGTTCTCTGAAGTGCTTTTTAGAATTACTAATATATATGTAGGCTATTTATATAGGCTATTATAGCCTACTTAATAGTGTATAATAAAAAAATCATAAAAACTCGTTTCAGTAAAGCCAAGATTTTTTTGTGTGTTGCTTAAAGTCTTCTGTCTTTGCGACTGTATTATTATAAACTCATAATCAATACAAGATCAGTGAATAATTTTTTTGAACCGTGCTTTGTACTTTCACACGCGGAGTGTGTGAGCTGACGACATCATCTTAAAAAGTGCGCGTAACCGTGTACAAATTGATAGGTTTATATGTATCAGAGCAGATCGGAAACTTCACACACACACACACACACACACACACACACACACACACACACACACACACACAGGGCACGGATCCAGTCTCTTTCAGTTGCAGCACCCGCTTGTGCAGGAGAGGCTGTGCACCGAACTGCCGGTAACCGGAGGTCCGTCACCGGGGATTTTGATATTTAAACACGGTAAGAGCTGCAGCTGTTACGTAATGCATTTTTACGAAAAAGATAGGCACATGCATATGCGCAAAAACGCCGCACAATAACGCACGAGATTTCCCAACGGGCTGTAATATTTAATTTCATTTTGATGCAGTATTTGTTTCAATATTTTAAGTACTTATGTTGTAGCATAGTTCTGATTTTATATAAATTGAAAATCATTGTATGGATAGGCAACAGTATTTCTTCAGTAGGTGGCTTCACATCATGTACCCGCCATAAATCTCGACACATGCCGTTATAGTAGAGATAAAGTCAACACCACAGACCTATCGTGTGAATTAAATACAAATGAGCCAGAGAATGGTCAAATGATGGTCAGATCTGTCCACACACACTCTGAATAAGCAGACTGTGGTCAGGGTGAATAGAGGGGAGGAGGAAACGCGAGGTCAGAGCGGTAGAAATCGGTAGAAATGGAGAGCCAGCATGATGACCTCGCGGTGACCCCCTCAACTTTCAACTCTGGATGCCTCCAGTTATCAGGATCTACAGTAATCCAATCAAAGTGATGCGCGCTCGCGTGAACCCGCTGCTACTGCTGCTGCTGCTGCAGCTGCTATAGGCCTATCTGCAGTCTACTATGAGATAACGTGTGTGTGTTTCTAGTGAGATTAGACCTGTGTGTTTTTTTTAATCATTGCAGGAAATGCACAAACCAAACCCTAGTTTCATTTGGGTGTGTTGTAACTAATAACGAGTTACACTTGTGTTTTATTCAGCAGTGTAGGGCGCTGACATGAATTATTATTGGTTTTTAGTAACCTGTGCTACCGGGTAAAATACACCCTGTTATTCGTTTTAGGATTTATTCTATTAGAATGTGGGATTGGGGATGAATTACCTCAACATTTAGGTTAGAAATAGCTCTTTCATTTTCATCCTGATGTGAACTGTAGTCATCTCACATTAATGGTTAGATGGTTGGACTTGGACTATACAGTAACAGGTTTATCTAATCAGTCAGGATCTGATCAGTCAGGGCAGGTAAATGGATAAAATGGTCAATCCAGATTTTTTTCCAGGCAGAAAAGGAGTCAACAGTTATTTTGAGGTGTGTGTGTGTGTGTGTGTGTGTGTGTGTGTGTGTGTGAGATGTTAACACCAAAATAGGATGATGTGATAGATGATGTATTCTCACAGCGACAAGCAGACACTGTGAGAATTAATAAAAATGCTTTAAAAAACAAATCAGTCAATACCAAGTGCGCGTGCGTGCATCTAGGTCCATGTCTATGTGTGAATGCGTGTGCGTGTATGTGTGTGTGTGATTGGCCAGTGTCACAGTCGTGATTTGGGTTGCAGATACCGATGCACCGTGCAGACCTATGGGAGCGCAGGGACGACAGAAGGGGGAGGGCAGAGTGTCTGAGGCGAACTTGACTCCATTTGTAATGAAGGATCTGATGAGCGGGGGTTCAGAACGGGGCTGCCACTGAGTCCGCGAAGGCAATAAAGAAAGAGGAACGATATAAATGAGGAGGAAATTACATCCGCTTTGAACGGATCTGTGCGTCTGCAGCCGGCGGTGACGGAGAGGCAGCGGAGCGGAGGAGCCGCGGTCTGCGCGCAGGGACACGGACAACGGAGCGAGAAACAACACGATGATGTTTCGGAGCTGCTGCACGGGGAGCGTGGTGGATTTTTAAGAGGCGACACCACAACATTTGGACAGTTGGATTTTTAAGAAACAATAATAATTTCGTGGAAATCAAAGCGAGCTAAAATAACAAAACACGAGCAGGCTGCGGAGCGCGCAGTAGCAGGATGAGCGTGTTTTCTGCAGGGAGAGCAGAGCAGTGCGTTTGAGGTAAAGGCCCTCAGGGAGACCATCCAAAACACACACACACACACACACACACAAACACACAAGGGTCAGACAGACTGTGGTTAGCTTATTTGATGTTAGTGATATGCACTTTCAGAGCTGCTTCTATTTTTACACAGCATGTAGGTTAGGGTGTAGTTAACGCAATTCAGCTGTTAACACACTGTGAACTCCAACATCACCTTATTGTCATGTAGTAAGGTTGACACACAACATATGAATATCAAGGCACGTTATGCTACTACTGTAGCCATAATACAGTCTGACATGATTGTTAATTTTGCATGATCAATAGCAAGCTGTGTCCCTTCACCAAGTTCACTAAGTTGAAGCCTGTGATGAGGTTATTGAATCAGTTACAGTGTAAATCAGTGTAATGCAATATAATCATTGTCTTTATTTTGCAAAGAGAGTTGTTTTTCACCACAGTGTGTTTGTAATAGAGGCCAGAGTTGACCGCCTCTCTGTGTGTCCTCACCAGCTTGTTTGTGTTGCATCAGCCTTCATAGTTTTTAGTTAGGGCATTGGTGTTTTGTCCTGATGGCTGCAAAAGTATAATAGGCTAGAGAATATATTGTATATAGATCTGAATTTAGTTGAGACTAACTTTAAGTTACCTTAATAGACATGCTTCGAATTTTATTAATTGTAGGATAGAGAGGAAATTTCCAATGACATCCACCCACTCTATCAGACAGCTGCGTGTGTTATGAGTCATGACAAACCCTGTTCACAATAAAAATACTTACCTGTGGGTGTGTGTGTGTGTGTGTGTGTGTGTGTGTGTGTCAGTGGGACATGGCAAACGGCGGGGACCAGTTCGGCCTTGCAGAGCGCCCGGACTCGGACTGCATGGATTCGCCAAAAGACACCAAACATGAAAATCCCAGCTACACCTTGAACTCACCAGCGTCACCACAGACAGCATCCAGCCAACAGCTACCGGCCTGTACCGCGGACCAGAATGTAAACATTGATCATTAATTATTGATTTCAGATTGGCCTAATTTAATCCAAAAGTTGCTGCGGTTTTCGCTCAAGTAAAAAAAATATTGATGCACCCTGAACCTGAAATATTCAACTCAGTATTTATTAAATGATGCGAGTTTAGTTTTATATTATTAACCAGGAAATTCTAATTTCAATACAGTTATTATATGTATATATTATAGATTACATTTTCAAAAATTAAACTGTGTTTCATTTTTGAGCCCTGTGTCTTGCTCTGATTTAACTTCCAATAGACGTCCTCTTCAGTTGCTGTGAGCACTGTTTATATTTTGCTGCAGGGGATGGAGGGAATCAAAGTTTTCCTCCACGACAGGGAACTCTGGACGAAGTTTGATGAAGTAGGAACTGAAATGATCATCACCAAGGCTGGAAGGTAAAAGCTTACAAGATAAAAATAGCTATCTGTTTTGTCAGTGGGCATATTTAATTCATCATGTTTACTAAAAGCGACAGAGTTGAATGAACGAGACAGCCTTTTTTTATGAACCGCATGTCTGTCCCAACAATACATCTGGGACAAACTGTACTATGTGAATGTCGCCAGGCCTCAGGGGACCTTTGTCTCACAGAAGGCTGGATATTTATTTTATTACCTAACTTCATGAATTTCATCATTTAAATCTGACTGTGATTAGTGATTAATAAGAGAATATTAATATTTTTCCTGAATGTGCCCCCTGTAGGAGGATGTTCCCCAGTTACAAGGTGAAGGTCACAGGACTCAACCCAAAAACAAAGTACATACTCCTGATGGACATTGTGCCCGGGGACGACCATCGCTACAAATTTGCAGACAACAAATGGTTGGTTTATCAAATCTTATACATGAGTAATGGACAAAATCCAAACTTAGATTACTCCTCAAAACCTCTGAGCGATGTAGGCTAAGATAATGAAATATGCATCCATCATAGTGCACGAGTGCGCAGGTCAGCTCTCCCATGACACACCCAATTTTTTATTTATGATATGGCCTAACCCTTTAAACACCGTTTATGGAGCGAATGATGCATAAATAGATAGATAGATAGATAGATAGCAGCCTATTCCCCCCCCCCCCCTCTGTTTTTGGTAGGCTATTTGTGGCCACTGTAAATTTTGCACTAGAAATCTCAGCCTCTGCAAGAAGAAATCTTTGCGAACCATGTTGTTGTGCCCTCCTCTCCATCTCTGCCTCTAAAGGTCGTCGGGTCCCTCTTGCAGACTGTGTTGGCCTAATTCCCCGTGTTTCCCCCCGTGTCTGCCCGCCGGTTAAATCAGTATGAAGGGTTCACCGGGCGGACAGACGGCACAGACCGGATTAAAGGCTCCCATTCAAATGTTTGTTGTGCTGAGGGGGAAATCCGAACAGGGCACGGACTCTGCAGTGAGATCCGTCAATGCTCTGTCTCTTCAGAGCATCACACACTCGGTATAACGGGCTGGAAACAGGAAAGTAGCCTATACAGCCCTGGCTCAGTGCGTAATGGAGGCGAGCGGTGTTTACAGAGACAAGTCGGTGCTGGCCTTCAGGCATTTTTTAAGTTTTTCTGTTTGGGTGGGGGGTTGATCCCCTCGACTATAGCAGACTGCAAATTTCTTTCCAAATTTATGTTTTTTTGTCTTGTATTTTTAATTCATATTTATTTATTTATTTATTCTAGGTCACGATATTTGACCTTTAGGCCTATTGCAGGCTCACAGGCCAGACTGCATGCAGCACTTTTTCTAACACAATGGTTAATATTTCTTCGAGGCCTGTATTATTTGACTCTACTGATTATTAGATCACATCCCCTTTAATTATTTTCGGCCCTAGTTTTTGTGTGTGACCTGTAAAACGTCAGATGTAAGGAGATGCTCACCTGGAAGTGTTAAAGCCTAGTGCCCCCCCCCCCCCGCTCTCAAACAGGTCTTTAGGGTCTGTTCCTCGACAATAGGCGTTTGTGTTCCTGGTTTTATCGTGAGGAGGGACACACGTGCATTTGTTCCCCTCCAGCAAGAACATGAGGACTTTTATTTTGACAAAATTAAAAACATTTACACCATAAAATAATGCGCAAATTGATGCATAAAAATTCACCAGAATGTAGGAAATCAAGTGTTTGATGCTTAAGATTTTCTAGCAGACGACCCCAAACCCGGTTTCATTTGTGACCCCTTTAATACTGACACCAGACCTGCGTCCTTGGTTTCAGGCGTCTTGCTCGGCACCTCTCTGGCACAAAAAGACTGAAGCTACAGCAACTTTTGAGGAGACCGAGTTAATTTGGGTCGGCTAAAGTCCAGATGTGGCTATCTGTGTAAGCTTCTGCAAAACACGGTGCATTTCATGTCGGACTAATTAAAGCACCAGATAGGCCCCTCTGCAGCCGGCGGCAGAGCAGGCCTCCTGCGCCACGGGGCGCCGAGCAGAGCGGTGCACTGCCGGTCAGGCAAACTACTGAGCGTCAGTGTCTGACCGTTTTCTGATCTGCTGCATTTTCTCTGCTGTAAAGGTCAATAACGGGGAAGGCAGAGCCGGCGATGCCCGGGAGGCTCTACGTGCATCCGGACTCTCCGGCCACAGGGGCCCACTGGAGCCGCCAGCTCGTCTCTTTTCAGAAGCTCAAGCTCACCAACAACCACCTGGACCCCTTTGGACATGTGAGTCTGTCTTCTTAATAGCGTTTGACTGCCTGTCCTGGTCTGTGTTTACTTGAATTTATTTGAACATATTTTTGCCCTTTGAATTTGTTATGGGCCTTTAGTTTTGAGACTGTATGAAACACTACAGGATATAATTCATGAACAATACCCAGTGAAAATGGTCTGTCGCCATCACAGAGCCATAATATACATTTTAAATAATCAACCCTGAGTGATGTTTCTGATTGCAGAAGAATGACTACACGAAGTACAGCCAGTGCTCCAGTCAGGCAGACAGGCATCACCACAATAGCTCACTTGTTTTAGCCTGTATAACTCAGCAGACATCACAACACAACACAAATCAGCACGAGGGCAGAGCGGCCACACTTTAGACTCAACAGAGACACTCATTCCCGCCATGCCCAGCTTTCATTGCACCAGCTGTCCCACAGTAACACTCAGAGGCCATACACACTGCACCTCGTCAGGCAGTGAGCTGTAAGCAGGTGAGCACATATTGTTTTTACGCGCGCGTCTTGGTGCGTGGGTGCGCACGCAGAGCAGAAACAAATAGAAACAGAATCTATTCAGGCTTGTTAAATTAGAGGTAATGATAACAGTGACTCTAAAGCCCATTAGCTAATGTATGTCACCGGCGGACACGTCACTGCGATTAAACTGAGCCCCCCTGGATAAACAAATGTGCTCGCGCCCATGCGTGCGCATACACACAGGGCCGTGATCCAATTAAAAAAACACTTGTGGAGTTGCCAGTGTCGTGGGAAATAGTGAAGACTGTGGGCTGAATGTACGGAGCTGTTAATGCTGGTATCTTCAAGCCAAATTTAGCAACCCTTTGATGAATGAAAAACGTTAGTAAGTGGTCACCAAGTGCACAAACCTTACACAACTCCCAATAAGTAACTCTGAGTTTCTCCAGACATAGTCTGCCAGGTTAATGATCAGTGATAACATTGAATTATGTTTTGAAATTTAGGCCTTGTTTCCAATATGTCAGATCACATTGAGTCTAATTGTCTTATATAATAACCATGTTTTATTTAGTTGTGGTTGAGAGGAAATGGTCCCAGATTAAATTTAATTAACTGTGTATAATAGACCTATGCTTAATTAATTTGTTTTAAGGTGGCAGCTAGCTTTGGTCCCACACATTAAATTATTTTGTACGTTGACATGAAAATAAGACCTTTAGAAAAGAACAAATAGCCTACATGACATATGTCAATTGAATCAGGTAGAAATTCTTACATCCATGCAGGATATATGACACAAGTATCCTGGCTACAGCCTTGTAAAACAAAATACAGATTTGGTTCCCTTCCTCTTGGCTTACATCAGTTTCAGCCGACTAATCTGAACGGATACCTGTTTTAAAGGTTCATGTCATCCAAGAAATTTAGGTAACTTCAAAGTTGGGTTTAACCTCCACCTGGACCCCAGCCTAGTCTGGGTCTCAGCATCTGCTGGTGGGAAACATGACAGGTCTGTCAATCTCACCTCCTCAATCTCTCCCCTGTGCAGATAATACTCAACTCCATGCACAAATACCAGCCTCGCCTCCATATTGTCAAGGCGGACGAGAACAATGGCTTTGGCTCAAAAAACACAGCTTTCTGCACCCACGTCTTCTCTGAGACGGCCTTCATCGCCGTGACATCCTACCAGAACCACAAGGTACGCTTTACACAAGACACAGTGGACCACCACTAAAATACAGGAACTAAAACCTCACTTTGTCTTTGGAAAGGGGCAACCCAAGTCCCAAGTTTATGGATAAAACTAATCTTTATTTGAGGTTTTAAAAAATGGAATCCACTACACAAAGCGACATTTAAACAGCACTTGGTGTGTGAATATGAAGCGTTCTGCTATTTCACAGGCTGAAGCTATAGGCTACCTCATATCAATTATGGAAATGAATCTCAAAGTCTTATGTGTGCAAATCAGATCTGGTCTACTGTCATATTTGTGACCCTTTAGATATGGGTATGATTTGCCTTTGGTCACCAGCCACATTCAAACTTCAGTGTCTCAAGCACATTCACACACACTCACAAGCACACTTCATCTTTGTTTGTATTACTGTCTGTATTTTGTATCCAGAAAGTCAATTTGCATCTTCTTTGTTTATGTGGCCTTACTCAATGTTTGTAAATATGTCCAAAAATAAGTTGTGTGTGTGTGTGTGAGAGAGAGAGAGAGAGCGAGAGAGAGAGTGTGTGTGAGTGTTGGTCTGTAATGACCTGTTTCTTTCCCTTGATCTTGGCTGATTCAGTTTTCTCAGCGTCTACTAGAAAGACAGATTGCTGCAGCTTTAAGCCGCTCTGATGGTTAAGTTTTCACAAGATAGCTTCAATTTGATCACATTTCATAACAAAACATTCATAATATAAATGGATGAATTTCAACTACAATTTTTAGTCAGCACTTAAAAGATAGAGGCCGGAGTTCTGCACATTAATCCACAGTTTCAAAGTGGTGTTATATTATTTATTGTATATTAAAAACAACAAACAGGTGCAAGGCTCAAAAAATAGATTTGCAACAAATGTTTAATCCAATAATTTGCATGAATTAATTTAGAATAGTAAATATAGTTTTTGGTTTAAAAAGTTTATACCTCATTATTTATTTATTTTATTTATTATTTTACTCATACTGACCAGCCTTAGCATTGTAGTTTATGTATAATAATGATTAAATATAATTGTTGTAACTGTCTATTTTATAAAATGTCTTAATGTATATTAATACTCAGATGTAATGCAATAAATATATGTATTTTAAACTTAACCACTGAATTGATTTTGAGTACAAAAAAGTTTTCACCTTTCTGAGCTATTAATTTGTGTGATCAAATGTGTGTAAAAAAAACAAACAAAAACCTTAAACTTTGTATTTCCATCATACACGCAATAATAAATACTATTGATATCACACTGTAAATTCCAACATTCGAGTATGAAATTAGAGCTGTCGAGCCAGAGGTTTGGTGAAGGCTATCTGTATTATCGGCACTTCAAAGTTTGTTTGGACCCCAGTTTGTGTCAGATCTCCAGTCCACTTGCCTGCTGTGTGATGGACACACTGCGCGAAGGTTTCCCTCCATGACATCACTGAGAAAAGTTTGAAGACTTAAACATCAAAGCTAGCAGCTTTGGACCTCTAAAAGCTTTGGCCTGAAATCCTTAAACCTGGCGACTGTTTAGGTAAACAGTTTATTCTGTGTCAGCTGGCGAGGACACTGTCCGCTCCATTGGAAACGTCAGTGGCTGAGGAATGTTGGCCGTGCAGAGCTGCAGCGGGGCTGCTTTTAACATCTGCAGGGGCCTCTCACTAATAGTAAACTATTGACTTACAGTCAATGAAAAGAAGGGTTTGAAAACTGAATGTGGCTTTGTGTGTCTGTACTTGCATGAAACAATGTGTTTGTTTAGGCCTGTGTTGTGCAGTTTGCTCTGTGGTGTAATGCCTATGTGTCTGAGATAAAGATTTTCTATGTTTTGTGCTTAGATTACACAGCTGAAGATCGAGAATAATCCTTTTGCAAAGGGCTTCAGAGGCAGTGATGACAATGAGCTGCATCGCATGGCCAAGCTACAAGGGTGAGTCCAGCTATGATGGTGTGTGTGTGCGTGTGTGTGTGAGCAGTCATAGGAAACAAAATCTACTTTCTCTGAGGGTAGTTATGATGGGGTACATATGTTCTAAGACAAGAGTGTGTCTGTGAATGTGTGTGTGTGTGTGTGTGTGTGTGTGTGTGCGCATGTGCGTGTGTGGGCCATTGTCACCTGAAGGTTGATCTTAGCCTCAAACCTCAAACAGAGCGTGCAGCACAAACACGACACACCGAGCGTCAGCCCCTGCATTGATAGATAGATGATATCACGTTGCTGCTGGTCTATTAGACTGTCACTGCTGATCAGCTGATGGCCCTGGGTACATGGTGTCTGTTTGCGTGTTGATCTAATCTCCGTTCAAGCCCTGTTGTGGCAGGCAGTTTAGAGATTTTAACAAGCCAATGGGAGAGGCTGTTACTGTGGGGAGGGGGAGGACAGAGAGGAGAGGGTGGTATTAGATGCAGCACCCCTGTGTTATTGTGTTGCTGTGGTTGGTGGAGGCCAGACAAGAGCAGAGGAGAGGAGAGTCTATCTGAAGTGACACACGGATGGATGTTTATTTTTAGAGCGCCGTATTATCTCACAACAGGACTGACTGTGTGTGCGTGCATGCACGAGTGTGTGTCACTCTCTCAGCGAGGGTCAGGGAGATGTGGCCTGCTGTCCCCTACATACCACAGAGTTCACCAAGAGGGCAGTGTGTACAGAAAGAGATCAGAGCTGAAAGGATGGAGAACAGCAAAGTAGACTTGAAAGAAAGGAAAGGAAAAAAAATAAGACCACTGGTAGTACAGCCGGGCAGAATTTAATGTAACAGAAATACTCGTACAGAGTCAGGAGAGGTGGTTTTGTGCAGCACACCTGAGGCCACAACAACATTAAATGCCAACTTTTTCTTCAAACATAATTCTCAACCCTCTTCTTTCTCTCTGTTTCAGTAAGGACTACCCTGTGGTTCCTCGCAGTACTGTCCGTCAGAGAGCCTGCTCCACCGGGAGTCCTTTCAGTGGGGAGGGTCGGGGTCTGAGGGGTTCCCCTGACGCTGTCGGGTCCCCCTACAGCTGTGAGAACGGCTTGAGCAGCGGCAGTCCTCAGGAGCTGCTGAGGGCCCCCCCTGCACACTATACCCTGCCTCATCCTCACCTGCAGCATGGCCAGCAGCCGCAGGTCTACCACTGTGCCAAGAGGAAAGGTAGGAGGAAGCAGAGCCCTCAGTACACTGTGTGAAAGAAAATTACTGTTTATCTCAAGCTGAAAAAACAAGTAGAGATTTCATTAGTTAACTGCCTGACTGGTGTTGGGAAGGTTACTTTTGATAAGTAATTGGTTACAGATTACTAAAATCAGATGCAAAGCACCAGAATGAATGCTATATTCTACACATAAACATCTAACTGAAAAGAATATATTTGGATGTAACTCCTTTAACCAACAGCATTTTGATTATTTACTATAATTTAATAACATATTTTTCTCAGTAATTACATTTATTTTGTAATTTGATTACATGTAACTAGTTACTCCCCAACACTGTGCCTGGCATAGGTTTGTGCCTGGCAACAGCTTTGTGTAAATGTTATAGTAATTAAGATTCTGTTTGTGGTTACCTGCAAAATGTGAAAGCTCAAGGACCATTCCAGTGATTTTACATGTTTTAAGATTGATTTCCTGACTTTCAGGCAGCCAGTATTAAAGTCAGAGAATTGAAATGCTATTTGGTTATCTTTATTTTTACCATTTAAGTTACAGCCAAGTCACAGCTACGAGGACAATTTTGAAAACTCAGAGGTGACTGCCACATATCATGTATTTATAAGGTTTAAAAATAATGATATTTGTCAGCCAACTACAACGTAATAAGGATTATGTTACTACCACAGGTAAAATATAACTTACAAAGAATGTTGACCTTTTTTTTTTTACTACAAAAGTCCTAAAATTTTAAGTAAGTCAACTGAAATTAATGGAAATCCTGCTTGGAAAAAAACTAAATTAACTTAAAAAGCAGATTCACACATTAATTTGTGCTGTGACTGGTATTCTGTGTTTGCAAACTGTGTGTAACTAGTGTCAGATTTACTGAGGCAGCAGCTGAATGAATAACTACATAATTTTCATGTCTGGTCAGTTACACATGCGTGCATGGGTTCATTCAGACATTTTAATCAACAGAATAAATGCAATGAGGCTGAAAATACTAAATAGATTCCAGAGGATTTTGTAAGGCTGCAACTAAATACAACCTGAGAGACATAATTTATGTTACATTTAAGTGATAACTAATCATGGGTGACGAGTAATCTGTGCTTTCAGGCTGCTGCTTGATGAAAAAAAATAGATCTCAAATTTTTTGATTCTGAACTATGATACTTTACAGATTGGTCTGCACTGACGATAAGTACGGCCTATGCTAGGGGTGCTCAAACTTCTTTTTATTTGAGGGCCAAAATTGAAACTTAATAGGGATACACGGGCCAAAAGCAAACATCTATTGTTTTATATTTTAGGATGCAAATTAATAATCAGGGTCCTTCATATTTTTACCTCACAAAAATAAAATAGCATAAAGACTGATTTATGCTATATATATATATTTTAAAATTAATTAAATTAATTAATTGATTAATTAAGAAGCCAAAGTTCTTAAATAATAAACGCTGTCTAAATTAAAGGGTCTATATAAGCAGTTTGTCCAAATACAATACAGTCCATTATTGGTAAAATTCTGATTTAAACCAGAAACAGAAACCATCTGATCAAAGAATAAGTAAACTTGACACATTTCGACAGGTACCTTATAGTTAATGGAATAAAACATGAGATCTTTTTCTTCTGGCATCATGTTTGTTTTAAGTTAATGTCATACATACTCAAAAACTGCCAAACTAGTTAAATTTTTTCTCATGTGTACATTTTGTTCTCGCCTCAGCTTCTTGAACTGTTTGATGTAGGAAGTCTGAAATTCTGATCTGAAACTGGCCCAGTTCTCACATGTCTTAAATGTCAAATGTAAATTCAACACAATGTCTTCTCTCTGTCTGTCTCTCTGTTTAGTGGAGGAGAACTGCTCATCAGGAAACCGCCAGCACCCATACAAGAAACCCTTCACCGGTTCCTCTCCAAGTGAGGGCGAGTCCTACTACCACCCCTCCTCCTATCCTCCTCCTCCACCCGGTCTATCCAACAACCCACTCACTGACTCCCCCTACAGCTCAGACATGGGACAGCGCCAGGCGTGCATGTTTGCTGGCTCAGAGCCCAGACTGGATGAACTCAACTGTGCATCCTGGTCGTACACCTGCCCGCTCCCCTCTGCCATGACCCCCATGGAGCCCTACCCACCTTACACCCCTCACCCTCCTTACAGCTCCAGTCCTCAGGGCTCTCGACTCAGCGCCATAGCCCACCAGAGCTCTCCTCCGCTGGGAGAACACATCACCCACGACCCCTATCAGAGCCAGAGCTCTGGACCTCCATCTCAGAGCTCACAAAACATTCACAGCAGGCAGCTCAGCCCTCCTCTCAGAGAGTATCCTCGCTACACGCCCAACCTGTCTCCCCCTCTCTACCACACACTAGAGACGCACACACACATTAGGTGTGGTGTCGCAGAATGGAGTGCAGCCTCCTAACTGAACCAGAGGACAAACCTGAAAGACTGATCAGTGAACAGAGATTCCCTTCTGAAGGATGCTGCGTTACATACAGACTAAATATGGTATTACCTTTGTAAAATAATTGTGAAAAGTGTGATTTTGTATTGTGTGAAGAGGTCTCATCTGTTCGTCATGTTTCTCCCCTGTGCTGGATGGAGCTGTGGATTGTTAAAGACTGGACTTGGACATCCACAAAGCTTAAAAAAAAAGAGTCTGACCAGCACAAAGTTGTACTTTATCGTCTCTCCGTAACCCAAAGACTGGTGTCATCCAACTGTTTGCACTGTGAGCCCCGTTAAGGCCGGACCATGAGCAGCACTAGGCTGTGTTCCTCTCAATGACTCCCACTCTCTCCATTGTGAAGGATGTTAATTGTGACCCACTGTCAGACAGGCAGTAACATTTTCTGACCAAAATAATCTCAGCTCTCACAGCAGAGCCTGAGGGAGATGTTTTTTGTCTTTAGTGGAGCAAAGCACAGCTCCATGCTCAGTCTCAGTGAAGGAGAAAAGGCATGAGTTGTCTGTGTGTGTGTGTGTGTGTGTGTGTGTGTGTGTGTGTGTGTGTGTGTGTGTTTGTATGTAAAGCCTATGTCAGCTCAGCTCAAGGATGCTATGAGTTAATTTCCAATGAGACAGGCAGTAGTAGCTGCAGGCGCTGCACCATAGAAATAAACAGTTTGTTTAGACCATGCTACAGGCTGAAGGACCTGTAAACACTGTTTCCGCTGCATTCTGGGTAAATGCACAACTCAGCGTCATGCAGCTGTCACCATTGTCCTCTCAGTCACCCCAAGCTGACCAATCAGCTGTCCCTGTTCCCTGGGAGCCGGCCAATGGGCACGAGCCTCTCTTTTTTCCCCAGCTGACCAGTCAGAGCAGGAGCGCAGCATTTTTCATGTGCGTGTGTGTGTTGGCCCATTTTTATTTGTTTCTGAATTATTCATGAGTCCAGCGTTGATCCTTGACATGCGAGGATTGCTCAGCAAACATAAAGAATCACAGTGCTGTAAGCGGGATAATGTTGATGCAACAACTCGTCCAAATATTCTTTTCAGTCACTCCCTGTCATGTCCAGACAGCATTTGTTCATTAATTGCTTCGACAAGATGGGATTAAATACATTTCCCTGCAGATTTGAGCAGCATTACGTCCCTCTTTTTAGCTAAATGTAAAGAAACATTTGTCGCATCCACTGTGCAAGCAGAGATTTTGGTTGATTTCTGTGTAATGAAGCAGTTTTCATATTTCTGCCCAGGTGTTTTACATGCAGTAACATGTGAGGTGCTCTGACATCACAAACCATCCGTATTCAGAGAGCAGATCCTCATCATTCCTTGATATGTATTTGATTTGTGTGTGTTTGTGTGTGTGAGAGACAGAGTATGTGTGTTACAATGAGATTTTTTATAGCCTCGTTCCTGCTAATAGTATTTATTACTCTAGATTTGTAAAGATTAGTTTGTTGTTAACTTGTGAAACAAAAGGTTTTTTGTTCAGAGATATTTGTTTCTCTTTGAAGGTTTGTTTCTGGTTTCACCCTCCATCTCCAAGTGGTGATAAATAGTTGTGATAAACAAACAAAATTTTCTGTTCTATGGAAATAAAGAGATTTATATACAGAAATAAATTTTAGAGAATTTTGCGTAAGTCAAGTGGTTGTAGTGTTCTTCTTTGTGCAGAGACAAACTATCAACATTCCCAGCGGGTTATTTAAAGTACGTTCAGCTCCTCAGCAGTGGAAACTCTTTTAAGTGCAGTGCAGTTTATCAGCTTCGATGCATGTATCAATATGAAGGAGCTGATAACAACAGCAGTCTGTGTCCAAAAGTGTCCAACAATCTGATTCAACACTGTAGAGAGTATTGTTGAAACAGCAAGTTGTCTTATCAAGCATAAGGGACCCCAGTGTCTCCAACTCTTACACTCAACAACAAACCCCCCCAGAGTGGTGTGGGTCCTGGGGTGCCGTGCATACCTTGTCCGCCTCCTCTTATCTTTGACGGTTTGTTTGGCATCTCCAGTCTCCACCAGCTGGACCCCCTCACTGATGCCCAGAGAGGGGTGGGGTCTGCTGGGATGCAAGACAAAGAAAGGTGGGGGTGCGCCTATGGTCCCCCCTTCCCTTCCCGTCTCCTCTCACAGCAAAGTTAACCTCTTCCACCTTACACCTGCTCAGAGTTTACAACGCACTTATTTTGAAAGAACAAATGGACGTGACGTGCAGAGATTTATTTAGAGAAGGCTGCTAAATCATTAAACTTCTAACCGGGTGTATTTACATTTAATTGCATGGTTATATGTCAGTTGTCAAACCTCCCTCTCTCTCCTCTCTTCTTCTCTTTCTTCCTTTCTCTCCCTCTTGTACACCATAAGGTCGGAGGTTAAGCAGGCAGCTCTTCAGAGGGTCTGTTCCTCCTTAACCCTTTGTCTCCAGACAAACTCCAGCCAGGATGAGGAGAGGGGGAGAGGAGGGGGGAGGAGTAGTCCCATGCAAGGGCCTCTGACTCTGAAGATGGATTGCATCGCTTCATGTTTGCTTGTACAGTAAGAGAGCGCTGTGATGACTTCTGTATGGCTGGAAGTGGGCTGGGAGAATAAAGCTTTGGGTAAAGTGGTAAAGTAATATTAAACATAGAAAGTGTGCATGTGTGTGTGTGTGTGTGTGAAGGACCTTAATCCATCTGTGGAGGACTTTCTCAGACACACTGGTTAGACAGTAGATTGATGAACCTTTGCGATCAAAGAGCCTAAGTGGTGCTTATCGTTATCTCCCGGCCGTCCCCCTCAACACACACACACACACACACACACACACACACATACACACCACTAACCCCTCCGACTGCCCTCTCTACATATTCTCCTTTTCTCATCCTTATCCAAATTTGCTACTCCACAATGGTTTCTAACAGACACAGAGCACAAACAACCACATATACACACATCTTTTTTTGTTGTGTCCACAGATGAGACACTACATGTCAAAACAGAGAAAGACTGACATTTTTAAATGTCACACATTTGGCCTGCAGACCTATATTTTTGTATGGCAACTAAACTGGGAGGGTTGCTGAGGAGGGCTTATGTTTCTGCTGTATTGTTTGTCCAAGCTGCTGCTCGGCTACAGGGAGTAATTCCTCCTGCAAAGTAAGGCTTTTTAAAAGGCATCAAAGACTTATTTAAGGCTTATTTCATTACAGTCTGAACTATTGGTTTGAATCTATAAATGTGTATCTGGAGTCTCTTGCAGGACACTGAGAGGCATTTGTGTGATGTCTGGCATTAGTGATGCCATTTTGTGTGGAATAAGTGGACTGAAATGGAGTGTAATTGGTAAAGTTGATTATGGTTCGTCTCTATGGGTCTGATGGTGCTCCGTCTCTGTGGCAGTAAAGGGCGACAGCTCAGTAACTCCTGACCATCATGGTGCAAGTTAAACAGCTGGTACACTGGAATGCAGCAGAAAATAGAGAAGATTTGGTTCTATGCAATTTGATGTTTCAGAAGTTTGAAAGTAAATATTACCTTTTATTTTTTCTTTGCTTAATGGCTTTCCAAAAACTTGAAGCAAGTTTAGCCAAAAATACATGTTTTTCCCCTTACCTTTATTATTATTTATCAGTCTAGATAGTTTTGGTTTGAGTTGCTGAGTGCTTGTGATATTGGCTGTAGAGATGTTTGCCCTCTCTCAAATGTAATGGAACTAGAAGAGTTGAGAGGCACCTGATTTGGCCACATGCTGCGCAATGATGCATGGAGAATCCTTTTTCAGTCAAATTAGATGGTACTATCCTTGTGGTGCTCATAGGACTGGAAGAAAAAACATTTGAAAAACTCAACAGCAATGTCTCCCTCCAGGAATCATGACCCGTTTACTCAAGATAATCCACAGAGCTTGTTGTGAGCATGTTGGAACAATTTTCTTTCTACCAAACTACACCTGCCAATCGTACCACAGCGCAGAAGCTTGTGTGCATCTGCTAGCTCACCTAGCACCACTGAGCTAGCTAATCATACAGCTCAGCTGAGTGTTTACATCTCACCTGAAGCCTCTGGTCCATGAGCAGATTCACATTTCCTTCTGTGTGGTGATTTGGTTAGCTGGTGTAGAAAGAAAATAGTTCCACATGAAACTGCTCACAACAAGGTCTGTGAATAACCAGGTCATGACTTCTGCAAAGAGCCATGACCTGCAACACTCAACGCTCTGCAACTCACACCAAAATAAACTGGATTATTAAATAGCACCACAGGTAAGAGGAAAAATATTTGTTTTTTAATTGGAGGTGAACTGTCTCTTTGAGAAAGAAATCTTACCAAAGCTTATTCTGGTGTTCTTATAGCTTCATCAGACTGAGTGGGATTTGAAAGTTGGGAGAGTATCTTTGTACAATGGGTTGATGGATGTATCAAGCTAATCTTTTTCAGTGTATGTTAATACACTATTCCATAAGTATCTGTAATTGGAACCAGTAAGCAATGTATGGCACTAAGAGGACAGCACAATGGCAGTACAATAATGCAAAACAATGAATGTTTGGCCATTACATGTGGTGCAACAAAGTAGGATGGTGGAGGTTTATTTGAATGATACTATCCATCCTTGTTATTTAAAAGCCACAAGAATGGTCTAATGCTGTTAAGCACAGTATCGAAACAAGACAGAGACTCGAAGCTAATTTCCCCCTAAATGAGAGTTTATGGCTGAAACAGCCCTGAAGTCACTGAAGTAGATCTTAATATGAACATAAGGGCTGTCAAGGATAAGAGGCCGAGTAGGAGTGTGTGTGTGTTTGTGTGGGGTGGATGGAGGGGGTGGGGTGCTTGGGTTGTCCTGCATGTTGCGTCTGAAAGACGAAGGGAGAGGTTAAGGGTCAAACCAACAGCAGCCAGGCCAGTCCAGGGTCAGAGGGCTCAGACTAACCTGATCAGTGTTGGCTGTTTATCTGGCCACCCCGAACCTAACCGTGATGGAGCTGCCTGATCCGTTCCCCTAATGCTGGACTCTCGCTTTTCCCAGATCAACAACTCAGTGCCAGTTTTGAAGAAAAGCTGAACCTACTGAAAAAACATATGGATGCAAACATGAAAAATCAGATGCAGGATATCTTGTTGGCCATGCCTGGCCATCACGTCCCAGGATCCCTGCTTTTCCTGTCACTCTCCCCAGTGGAAGCAAAGTTTTTAAAAAGGACACTGTGATGTGAGCAAGAATAATTGTTTTAACTCCTAACATACCGCCGTGGTCCCAAGACCGGCAGCCAAACACACATGACAGGGTGAAAGGGATAGAGGCGCTCCCGCAGTGGGAGGTGGTGGGGGTTGTGGGACGTCATGGAGCCAATGTCCCGTCTGATTACAGCCAGAAGACTGAAGAGGCACGCTAGTCCTCCACACACACACACACACACACACACACACACACACACAAATAAAGATACACAAAAACACTCTCTTTGAGACAGACACAGAACCAGCAAGACGGACAGACATGTACACACACACACACACACACACACACACACACACACACACACACACACACATACTGACACACCTATTCAGTCAAGAGATTACACCCCATTCCCCCTAACCTCACTGCAGTCCCCTTGGCCAGACAGGACACATAGCATAATGATATCACTACCAGCAGGACTTCACATTGCCGCTCTTTTGTTTGCTCACTGTACAGACCGGCTGTGGCCCCTCACAGTCTTTGGATAAAGGAACGTTGTCAGCTCATTATGGTGCATGTGCCTGGGCCTGTAGCCAAAATTTTAAATAATACTCAAGTCATGAGTCCACGTTCTTGCAATGCAACCCCCGTCTCCTAAATTCTGTTTGACTTTCACAAAGGAAGTCTCAGTTTTTTAATTTGATTTTTAATTTCCTAAAAATTCTTGTCCACAGTTTCAGGAATAAAATTCTGGATTGTTTTTTTCTTGCTTTATATTGTTTGAATGATCTTTTAACAATTCAAAACTTTCCTATTTTCTCAGGTTTATCATTAATTACTGTGTGTGTAATCAGTATCTTTAGAACTACAATGTATAAAATGACAAAGTGAAAACAATGTGAAAGGTGTAACTTGTAGAGATGAAACTATATAAAATTAGGACCTGAATCTGCAG